AAGCTCAAGCATACCCGCAAGGGCCTTCTCTCCATGGCAAACAGCGGAAAAGACACGAATGGAAGCCAATTCTTCATCACCACCGTTATCACCAGCTGGCTCGACGGCAAGCACGTCGTCTTTGGCGAAGTGCTCGAAGGCTACAACGTGGTCGAAGCCATTGAAAATTTGCCCAAGGGCAGCGGCGACAAGCCCCTCAAGCCCGTCACCATTGCCAAGAGCGGCGAGCTCGAGGTCCCTCCGGAAGGTATACACGCTGAACTATGACTAGAGTATGCCGACGGCGTGCTCCGGGTGTCGTAGCCCCGGGCTTTTGTAGGGATGCTGGCTGATTTTTTTCTTCTTGACCTAAAGATCTCTACGGTGTTGCGGAGCCCGCGACTCCCGGTGACAATCTCGACGTTACGGCTGCATCGAACAACAAGGAGGAACAGGCTACTATTCAGTCGTCGGAATCGGTCAAGTCGACTACTCCCGGTTTGGCCGCTGCTGTTGCTGCCGCGGCTGGTGGATCTGCTGAGGGACTGTCGGTCGCACAAAAGGTGTTCATCATTGGTGGCGTCGCTACTGTCTGCACGCTTTTTCTCAAGTCTAGAGGTAACGGCAGTGGGCATGCGAAGACGAGGAGTATGGCTTAGACTTTATCAACGGTAGATGCCTTGCACAGAATATTATTGGTTTTTTCACTTGCGGTCTTGGTTCGCAATTCATGATCTTTTCTGCATGGTATTGCTCCTCCATGTAATCACGGCAAGTATCTTTCCAGCCCGGCCTTAGATCATCTGCGCACATCACCACCACTGTGGTTGCGTAGTGTCTACAACATACCTTGTAGTCGTTGGGTAGTGTCCTGCAGAGGGTGCAAGCTGCAAGGTACTTGTCAAAAACTCGACTGTATCAGTCTCCCTCTCTGCAGTCATTTTTATTTATTTCTTCTGTGGTTGTGGATGGTAGGGGGATTCTGTTTTGTGAATGCTATCTCCAAGACAGCTGTTTGATTGAGACTGGTTTGGTTTATAGGGTAGTCATGTTACAAGTCTTGACAGTTTGATGGAGGATAGTGTGTGCATAGTCTAGAAACCAAACTGTACATGCCATTGCGGATGCATATAGCAAATAGCCTTTCTTCTCAAGTGTAGAACAGGCTTCTGTAATGATGCAATACACTTTTCCTGAGTTGAGACAAAGTGTAAGCAGGGAGCATTGCACCTCTCTTACCACCACCACCTCCTTCTTCCCCATGATTGTGGAAATCGTTAGACACCAATGTCATGAACAGGAATAGAGTAAGTTGACTGTCTGCTTGTTTGTAGTTGTGATACAAATCTGTGGAGATTGCCTGCTAGTTTGGTGTGACAAACCCGGTGGCCAAGCACGAGGAGGGAGGGCTGAGGGAACAAGGCCATGCCGCCACCGCAGTAAAACAGGATACGCTGCAAGCAACTGCACACCAGACCAGTCACCACAGGACAGCATGGTAACAGGCAACATGACGCAGCCCATCACTGGCTTTCGAATCCAACAAAAAATAAATAAGTTGTAGCCCGTCTCACCGCCCAACCCTCAGTCTCACTGTCTCACCGACTCGCCACAATCACTATCGCAGCTGGCAAGCGAGAAAAAGTCAGGGTCCAAGCGCCGCGCTACTGTCATCAGGGTGTTATCGCCCTAAAATTCTCAGTCTCAGTCCTGTCCATCACCACTCTCCCCCCCCTCTCCCAATAAAACCCCCCTCAGTGTGCTTTCTTAACACGATCCTACCAACACAGTCCCTGTGAAGTCCTCTCTTTTGGTCTTCACCCTTTTTCTCTCTTCTCGTTTTCTTCAGGACAGAGGCGTTCCCTTCTTTCCTGTCAAAAAAACGACTCTCAGGCGCGTTTCTGCCTTCGATTCCGACTTTTCGTCTCCTAGAACTCTGCCAGTTTTTGTCTGTCGCTCACCGTCGAGTCAGCCAGAGACTAGACAGTAATCGTTGACTTTCTCCCACGTCATCTCGCAGAATCACAAGAAACCAACAAACTATACAATCCAACCTCTCTTGCCTCACGACCACTTCTTCACCTACTTCATCATGGCTGAACAACTCGACATGGGTCGTCTGAACCTCAACGACTCGCAGCACGCTCCCAACGGCTTCAACGGCGAGCGCTCTGCTTACATTCCTCCCCATCTGCGCGGCCGTCCGGGAGGTGGCCCTGGTGGCCCTGCCCCCATGGACGGCCCGCCTGCGATGATGAACGGCGGCGGCCCTGGCATTGGTGGCAGTGCTTGGGGACCTGCACCAGGAGGGTGAGTACATTGAGAAGCTGCTTCACGATATTAAAACATGCTGATAATGCAACAGTCACGGTCCTCCCCAGCAGATGAACGGTGGCGGCGGCGGCTGGGCCAACGCACCCAACTTCACTCCCCGCGGTCGTGACGGTCCCCAGGGCGGTGGATGGGGCGGCGCTCCTCAGGGAAGGTTCGACCCCGGTGCCTACGGCAAGCCAGGTGGTGGTGCTGGTGGAGGCTCTACCCGAGGCTCTGGAGACGGTCAGTGGAAGGACGGCAAGCACGTTCCAGGCCCTGCAAATCAGCGCCTCGAGCGTGATCTCTTCGGAGTCCCCAACGACCCCTCCAAGCAGCAGACCGGTATCAACTTCGAAAAGTACGACGACATTCCCGTCGAGGCTTCCGGTCAGGGTGTGCCCGAGCCCGTCACTCGCTTCACAAACCCTCCTCTGGACGACCATCTGTTGAGCAACATCGAGCTCTCCGGCTACAAGGTCCCTACTCCTGTCCAGAAATACTCTATTCCCATTGTCATGGGCGGCCGTGATCTCATGGCTTGTGCTCAGACTGGTTCTGGAAAAACTGGTGGTTTCCTCTTCCCTATCCTGGCCCAGAACTTCGTCAACGGACCTTCTCCTCCCCCTCAGTCACAGGCAGGCGGATACGGACGTCAGCGCAAGGCTTACCCCACTTCTTTGGTGCTTGCTCCCACTCGTGAGCTGGTATCTCAGATTTTCGAGGAGGCCCGCAAGTTCGCCTACCGTTCATGGGTCCGTCCCTGTGTCGTTTATGGTGGTGCGGATATTGGTTCCCAGCTTCGCCAGATTGAGCGTGGCTGTGATCTTCTGGTCGCTACCCCCGGTCGTCTCGTCGATTTGATTGAGCGTGGTCGCATCTCTCTTGCCAACATCAAATACCTTGTTCTCGACGAGGCCGATCGCATGTTGGACATGGGTTTCGAGCCTCAGATTCGCCGCATCGTCGAGGGCGAGGACATGCCTCCTACCGCTGCCCGCCAGACGCTCATGTTTTCAGCCACCTTCCCCCGCGACATCCAGATGCTCGCCCGCGACTTCTTGAAGGAGTACATCTTTCTTTCTGTCGGTCGTGTCGGATCTACTTCTGAGAACATCACACAGAAGGTCGAATACGTTGAAGATGCCGACAAGCGCTCAGTTCTTCTTGATATTCTTCACACCCACGGTGCTGGTCTCACCTTGATTTTCGTCGAAACCAAGCGCATGGCCGACTCCCTCTCCGACTTTTTGATCAACCAGGGTTTCCCTGCCACCTCTATTCACGGTGACCGTACTCAGCGCGAGCGTGAGAAGGCTCTTGAGATGTTCCGCAACGGTCGTTGCCCCATTTTGGTTGCCACCGCTGTTGCCGCCCGGTAAGAATCACCACATGTATTCTCTGAGAATCTTTGACTAACGTAAAATGCAATATAGTGGTTTGGACATTCCTAATGTCAAGCACGTGGTCAACTATGATCTGCCTACCGACATTGACGACTATGTCCATCGTATCGGTCGTACTGGTCGTGCCGGAAACACTGGTATCGCGACTGCCTTCTTCAACCGTGGCAACCGCGGTGTTGTACGCGACCTCCTCGATCTCCTCAAGGAGGCCAACCAGGAAGTCCCGAGCTTCCTCGAATCTATTGCTCGCGAAGGCTCTGGCTTCGGTGGTGGCGGTCGCGGAGGACGCGGTGGCGGTCGTGGCCGTGGCGGCGCTGCAACTCGTGATGTACGTCGCATGGGCGGCGGCATGGGTGGCGGAGGCTGGGGTGGAGCTCCTCAGGGAGGCTATGGTGGCGGATACGGTGGTGGACCCGCTCCTGGTGGCTATGCCGCCCCCCCTGCTTCTGGTGGTTACGGAGGTGGTGGTGGTGGCTATGGTGGAGGCTACGGCAACCCATCTGGCCCTGGCGGCAACTCTTGGTGGTAAACGCCACCCTGGAGGCTTCACGATCAGGCCAACCCGGGATTGCATTTTCCCTGTTCGATACCCTGGGACTTCGTGTTGCTTTCGCTTACGGCCTACCTTTCCTTTCTCTTTTTTCCTATGCCTTTTTTGAACGATCGATGCGCTTCTTTATCGGCTTCCACGGATCGATACGGAACTGCGGAATCTCATTCCCCAACAGCATATAGACAGCGCCTGTTTCTAAGCGGATCTGCCTGTTTTCGAGCTCTAGTCGCACAGGATACCCTTTCGACACCCCCGTTGTCGAGCTTGAGCGTTGATGGCAGGACCGCCCGCCTCTTTACGGATAGGCATGCATTACGAATATTTTATGTCTTCGCAGTTCTGCTAAGCATGCTGCTTGGGGAGATTATAGATCTCGTTTTTCCGGCACTCTCTACACGTGGACGGCCCCTTTCCAGCGATTTCCCACGTACGACAAAAGCGATTCCTTTTCCCTGGTCATACTCCTCAGCGATAATGTCTTCCCTCGTCGTCCTCTTGTCCCGCGTTTCTCCACACGCGGAGGAACAGTGCGCGACGTTTTGTCTGGGACGACGGAAGAAGTTTGCTGGTAATGACATTCGCATAGTAGACGGCGTTCATGAGGGTTGCCCTTGTTGCTGCCCACTCAACATTCACGACGACGGAAGATACCCCGGTTCTTTGCGGTGACCATCTCATGTGGCTGTTCTTTTCATGGCTGGCTCGGCGGGGCAGTTTGGCATCGTGGAACAAGAAGTTTGTTTGTGGCTTTTTTTTCTTGATAGCCATGGCCTCCCTCCCCCTTCGTACTCTTCCCGTGCACATAAGCCAGCAGTATGCGGACCCAGCGAAAAAATGACTTGGGTTAAGGGAATCTCGATAAAAAGCAATAGTTTTGAGCATGTGAAATCAGTGTTTTCGAAGAGATGAGCATGATGACTGTCTTGTGTGGTGTACATGGCTTTGTGCAATTGAATGCACATGGTTGAAGCTTGCAGTTTGCGGTTATGCTGAGATGTGAAGTAAAGTACAGTGAAGCATTGTTATTGCTATTACTACTGTAGGTGAAAGGGCATGCCAAAAGTCATGGAATCCATCCGCGTGCTATCTGGCAGATATAAGATACACATGTATGATAATGATGATGACATGTGACATGTGACAATGCGACTGGGACAGGGAGAAATAGCAGGGGCTGGAGTGAATTGACTGGGATTTGAGTTACGTAGGGGGGCTGGAACTTGGACTTGTTTGGTAAGAGGGAGCTACCGGTAAGTTGCCGATCTGCAACTTCGTGTTCTTACCTTACCGTAACCGTAACCGTACTTTACTTGGTAACCTTATGAAACCAACTTCACATTCTCCGCAGTCGCCCAACAGACAAACCTCCCAAAATCCAACATCCCCAGTCTCTCATCGCTTCACAATATTGGCAAGATCTCGAGGCGCAACCGATTAGATTGAACACAAAGAGGTCGCCGATCTCGCCATGGCCATGGAGGACGCGCCTACCTCGTCCGCTCCTCCGTCTGGACGCGTGGAAGAGGCGGACAGCAGAAACAGCCTGCGACACATCCTCGCAGACCCGACCATGGAAGACAGCAACAAAGCATCACCATCGGTGGCCAATACACCAGCGCCTGAAGACAGCGAGGCAGGAGGTGATGTGCCAGACGGCTCGCGACCAGCGACAGACACGGATGCGCCCCGTCCCTATTACACGGCCACGACGACAACCACACGGCGCAATGCCAATGGCAGTGTCTCATCCGTCTACAGCGGCAACAAGATCAAGCATCTCAAAAAGGACGACGGCATCCCGCTCTGGCGCAAGGACATACAGTACGACTTCCTCAAGCTCGTGTTTGAAGACGACAAGCCTGTCTTCACCAAGCAGTCGGATGGCACGAGCGGCCACACGTTTGCTGACATCTATCTCGATGCCATGGCTGGTAGCAGCAAGTGCAGCAAGATTCTCAAGGACAAGTTGCTGACTGAGCGGCCGGCTGCTATCAATATGGCCATGGTCTGTCTGCTGGTCAATGTCGGGCGCATGAATACTACTTTGAACTGTAAGTGCGATGTTTTTCTGGACATGCTTGGGCATTTGTCGCCCAAATAACACACACATACACCCCGCTAACATGTTGCAGTCTTTCCCGAGATGCGCGCCCAGCTGCGAACATATCACTCGATCCCTTCGCTCCAAGCACACCAGGATCCCAACGCCTACAAGCAGCTGCAAGATGCGCCGCGCCTCAAGTCCATCCTCAAGGGCGCCACAGAAGATAGGGAGCAGCCCAGCACCATTGAAGAAATCATGGCCGCCACCATTCCACGCACAAACCCCGTCAACCTCATCTTCGTCCTCTCCCAATACGCCCCCAAGATCTCGGAGCTGCACTTCTTCCCGCCCCGCGACTTCTTCGATCTCGTCATGCGCCCCAATCTTAGTAGCAGGAGCCGTGCCACCGCCTTTCTCTGGCTGATGTGGTGGTATCTCGAAAGCGACTTCTCCAAGCACGCTGCGGAGAACAACCCGTTTGGCCACGGCCAGCTGGGACCTGCAGATGATCCTGCGACAGCCGATTTTCCAATCAAATGTCCCCCCTTTGACATCTTGACGCCGGATCAGGAGGCGCTCGAGAATGTGGATACACCCGAGGAGAAGAATTTTGGAGAGATCAAGCGCAAGGAGAGGACCGCCATTCTTGCGAGTGACATGGCGCCTGTCGTCACAGGACCGAAGAGGACGAACAAGAAGGGTGAGTCGAGGCCTTGGTATTTGCTGGTCTTGAATGTGAACACTGATATTCTAGCTAGCATTCAACCAGAATCCTGTCTTCTCTGTCATAGCAGATGATGGCGCTTCTACCCCTGGCAGAGATCGACAATCGCCTTCCCACGGTAAGCACTTGACCTCCACCTCCAAGTCTATTACCCCAAGCCAGAATGAAGCTAACCAATACAACCACCAGGCTCAGCCCGCGGCCGCACCAAGTTGGCCAAATCCCTCCTCGAGCGCGACTATGCCTCAGACACTGACCGCACACGTTCGGCCTCTCCCCCAAACTCTGTCTACAACACCACAAGCAAACAGCATGCCGCTACACCCAACATGCGTATAAACACCCTTCTAAACGACGACGCCGGCCCTTCCTCGTCCCCCGCCCCCAAAGGTCCCGGCCGCGGCAACTGGTCGCGAAATCGCTCATCGGGCCTCCACCACCCCGGCAGCGCCGCAAGAACCTTCAAATCACGCCTCGACGCCACAGCCTCACAAGACGGCGCCTCCCCCTCTACCAGCGCGCCCACCTTCAACGGGCCCCACGGCTTCTACCTCCCGCTCAACGGCTCCGATCCTTCGCACAAACGCACCCGCCCGCTCACCCAGCACCAACTCGCAGTAGAACAATACCGGCGCCGCCGCGTCGACGTGATTCTTGCCCGTAGCCTGCGCAAGGAATACGCACTCGCGAGTCGGCGCCGGCGTCGCGCAAACCCGATTATGCTCAGCTGGATCCGCTGCAAGGGCATGCCGGACGGTTACGACACGGATGAGGAGACGCACAGCCTGGGCAAGTATTATGGCGGTACCGCTGATAGTGGTGCGGGTGGTGCCATGGACCTTTCCAAGACGCAAACACCCCCGCCCATGCCGGCCGGGCTTGTGCCCTTGGATTTCGGCGGCGAGGTCAACGATCATGGCGAGGAGAGTTATTACCGGGCCAAGATGCTGGGCAGGGCGTTGAGAAGGGTGGAGAGATGGGAAGGACGGCGGGGAACGGGTAGACGGACACGAGGCAAGGACAAGAGCAAGTCTGGTCCTGATGATGAACGCGTTGCACATCCCGACGCCGACGCCGACGCCGACGAAGCACTCGACGCAGCCAACCTCGAGGAATCTCAACGCCAACAACATCGCAGACTCTTACGCGAAGAAGAAACAGAATCCGAAGACGAAATCATGCGCGATGTCGATCGCGACGCTGATGCTGATGCTGACCCTGACCCCGACGCTGAGGATAGAGAGGTCCTTCTTGGTCGTGGGGAGGGCAGCCCGGATGCAGATGGCGATGCGGAGGAGCCGGGGGATGAACATGCAGCGTCGGATGATGATACGGATGAAGAGCGGGGTTGGGATGGCGAGGGCCGGTCGTTGCCGGGTTCGAGGGCTTTGAGGTAGGGTGGGCGTGTTGGGGGGTTTTTTTTGGCGTTTTTTGGGGTGGGGGAGGTTCGGTTGAGTTGGGAGGGGGAGGAGGGAAAGTGTTGGACATGGATATTGATACTGATATTGATATCGGCGTCATGGTGATAGTAATGGTGGAATTATACTGATTCTGATTGTATTATATGATTTCTCTTTCCCTTTTTCATCTCCCCATACTCGACAACAACCCAGCACACTGCAAGAACACAAGACTCCCCCAGCTCCCCGCAAAATAACCCCCTTATTCTGGCATATCATTGAATCTCACAGATATATAATTTTTTCTTTATTGTCGTTTTGGCTTTTGCTTCTTGTGTCATGGAGAGGGGCAAGGGGAGGAGGGTTTGGGTTGGGTTGGGATGGTGTGCTTCGCTTTGTTTTGCTGTGCTGTGCTGTGCTGTGCTGTGCTGTGCTGTGCTGTGCTTTGCTTTGCTTCCCTGTGCCTCGCCTGCCAAAAGTAAATGCCCAACGGGGATAGTTGTGCGAAAAGAGAAAAACTACAAGCACAAGCACAAGCACACCAAGATGGCCAAGTACACCAGCACTATACGTGCGGTATCCCATCCTCCATGTACCCTCCCCTCTGTGTACATCTCGCCATGTCAGCGGGGTATGGTGGTTAGAACTATTGCTGTGCGGTCTAGAGACGACAGGGTGAGATAGGAGAAGTGTGGACTCTTGCATGTACTTGTATTCTGAATTTCCGTATCCTGAATTCTACCCCGTGTAAGCGGTGGTGTGGCCTTTAAAAACTCCTCCTAGCGCAAGAGAAACGGCATCAAAGAAGCCATATCGCGGGCCTCGTCGAACACGCCTAGTCACTATCGCTGTCGCTACTACTACTACTACTACTACTGCTCTCGTCACTGCTACTACTCCCCCCTTCCAAGCCAGCCAAAACACTACCAGCCCTATTCACACCCGGCTTACTCTTGACCCCATTCGGCGCACCAACCGGCACCCCAGCCCGAGCCCCAGCCTTGAAAAGCTTACCGAGATTCATATTTCTCGGGTCAAACGCAGCGGCCAACTTACCCTTGGCACCACCAGTCAGAGTCTGCACCTGGACAAGCTGATCCTTGAGGCCGGTGAACTGGCTGGATTTCGATGACAAGGTGGGTCTGCGGTTTGGCGTTTGGAGACTTGCTGATGAGGGCCCTGGTCCTGCTCTTGCTGCTGTTGTGGCGGGACGTTGGAGGCTAGGGGAAGCTGTGGATGGGAGTTGGCTGTTGGGGGGTAAGGGGATGGGCGTTCTTTTGTAGGGTTGGGAGGGTGCGGGGACTGGCTGGCTTGTCTCTGGTACCATGGGGGTGGATTGCGGAGGTTTTGATTGTACAGTTGGTTGAGGGAGCGAGGAGGATAGGGGTTGTGTTGATGAGGCTGGCGGTGGGGCGTCTGGCAGTTCGTTGTCAGTGGCTGAGCCATCCGAATCGCTGTCTGAGGATGCAGAATCGCTATTGCTTCCACTTTCGTTGTTTACCGCCTGGGGCGTGCTGGCTTTTGAAGGTGAAGCCGATGTTTCCTCTGAGTTGTCTTCAGCATCGGAACCGTCAGGAGTTGGCGAGTGGCTCAAAAAGCGCGCAGGACGACGGGTCAATGCCGGAGAAGAGCGAGTTGAGACGGCAGGACTGACGGATCGTGACTTGCTCTCTTCTTCGCGTGCCAGTCCTGCATCAGATATGCTCTCGTTTTTGCCGTTTGACAATGGTTGAGAAGATGCTGCGCGTGCATTTGCTTCTTGATTGCTAATAGACTCGCTGGAGACTCCGTCCTTATCAGCAATATTGCCGAAGTCCCAGGAGTTTGAATTCCAAGGTGTCTTCTTCTGGTTTTTCTGCGTTTGCGCCAAAGAATCTTGTGCCTGGGTTGGCAATGACCGAGCTACCTGATCCCGTACCGAGGACTGCTGCTCCGCGCTTTGCTCTACCGACTCCAACCCATTTTCCGAGGTTCTCGGTAACTGGCTTGATCTGATTTCATTCTCTGGCTGCAACTCAGGTTGGACGGTGCTACTGTTTGCCATGGCCGCAGATACATTATGAGACGTTTCGTCTTCCTCAGGATCTTCTGAAGATTCTGATTCAGCACTGGAAACCATAATGACCTCCTCGCCAACGGACTTGGCTTGAGAGCTTGTCTTTGACGAAATCGGGGCAATGGATTCCGCTTGCGGTGGCTCAATTCTGCTAGGATCAGCAAATGGACCTGGTGCTGCTGCAGGTTCGACCACGGGATTCTTCCTCGGACGTCCACGCTTCTTAGGTACAGTCGCTGTTGAAATTGGGGTAGTCCCGGAACCTGCCTTTTGCGCCGGTGCAGCTTGATGAGACGAATGGGCAGATGAATGCTTTGCGCTAGTCTTTGCAGAAGCTGGATGAGTGTTGGGTGACTCACGCTGTCGAGAGTGCTCATTGCCACCCTCGGATTGGAAGTTCAACTTTTCCAGTGTAGGCTTTCTCACATCACTTGTGGTGCTGTTGTTGTGTAACGAAGTATTCTTTGGTGATAAGTTTCTTATGTTTGCTGGAAGTGGAACTGGAGTCCTTTGAGTCGTAGCTCTGACTGTAGCTGGCTGCGAAGGGAGGCGAGCGACTGTCTCTGGTTCAACCTGTGGCTGGATAGGCGTTGCCGTCTCAGATGACGCTTTCTTCTTAGCTGACGTTCCTGACTCAGTATCGGTCTTGTCAATGGAGACTGGGGGAGAAAATGTGGCAGCCGTAGATTGTGCACTTGTATTTGACTGAAGTGAGCCCCGACGCGAAGACTGGTCAGCCAGAACCGGCGGGACTTTTTTCCGTTGGCGTAGACGATCCAGTCTTGCTTGTACACTTGGATCAACGTTTCTCGGTGTACTTGTGCTTTTTGGCGTGCCGATACCTCGCTGGGAGCTTGAAGCTGCAATATCATTCGCGGCTTTGATGGCGGACTGTGAAGTCCTAGACGGTTTCTTAAGGCTTCCTGGCCGGGATGTCTTTGCTGGTGTGGTTTGGATGGGAGTGGAAACACCATTTTGAACATGACGCGACCGTATCAGAACTTCCTCGTCCTGTTGTGTCGACTCAATGAAATCACTCTGAGCAAGTGGATATGCGTGAGTCTTCTCTAATGATGTTCTTGAAGGGCTTTGTTTAGTGGGAGTGTGTCTCTGAGCTTGCACAGACAGCCGCCTGGCACGGTTCATCAGGGCCACCGCTTTCTGCACAGTCTTTGGCGATCGGCCATAGGTGGTCATGTTTGAGCTCGATTTCTGACCTACAAACTCGGGAGAGCTTGATATCTCGTATAAATCCTTTCGTCGGGAAGCTACTGGAGGGGTTTGTTGCATGTGCGAGGGTGTGGACTCTGGGGAGCGCAGTATGGCAGTGTCCACGGCTTTCTCGTTTGTTGTAATTGATTGCAGTCCATCTTTTTGCTGGCGGCGTAGGTCGCTGTCTTGCGTGATGTCCTTGAGCGGGCAGACATGGCCCTCCGATACCTGAGGCGCCGACTGATGGGGTGTTCTTGAGCGAGATGTGTTCTTTTGCAGTCGTGCTCCCCGCGGTGTCTCCTTCCGAAGGGGTATGGATGGCTCTCTTACCATGGCCTCTATCTGTGCGACTTCAGGTGTGGGCTGTCGAGGTAAATCCCCCAGCTCCGGCGATTCCGCCTTGATGCCAGACCCAAACTCGGCATCTCCTGTCTGTCCCCCATGCACGAAGACTAAAGATGCTCCTGTATGCGATCTCGAGGAACGATGCGCAGCCTGTAAGCCATTTGCAGCTTCATCAGAGATATCTTCCCCGCAGAGCTCCGACTCGGTAGTTGGTAGTGGCTGATCGCGCAGAGGATGCGACTCTTCGCGTACGCAGTGGAGTTGTGAGTGGTTTATGCGTCGCCTCTTGTTTGCGCGCTCTTCTGCAACTTCTAGTAATCGTTTCTGTGCGGAGGCGGGCCGCAGGTTCGAAGTCACGGGCACGGAGAAGTCGCGGTCGACAAAGGAAGGTACGACTTTGATCTTTCGCATGGTGGGATCCGCCTCGCCTTCGAAGATGGAGCCGACAGTGTCGTCGACGTCCAAGTCGCAGTCGTAGGCATCTTGGAGCTTGTTGATGGTGAATGCGCTGGACATGATCAGCGCCTGCCATAGACTCTAGCATAACTACAACAAGCCAAACTTACGCTGCCTGCTGAGCGTTCAGATAATTCTTCTTGTACCGCTCCTCAATCTGACCCCAGACTTGTCGAAATGTGTGATTTACTTGGACAGGCAGAGCAAACCTCCTGGCCTTCATGTCGGCCAGGGCTTGCACTCGCGATGGGCCGTGGGCGTGCTCGGCAGCGAGAGGAAGAACTTCAACTGTCAGTCGCATCGACGTCGGCGCCACTGGAAGCGTCGGTGGCGCCATGAGACGAGACATGGCGTCGCGTGCTGTGCAAAAGAATTGCGAGTGGAGCACGGCGATGCGACGTTGGACAGAGTTGACCAAGAAATTCGGTTGATCAAGAAATCAGTTGAACAGATAGAAAAGAAAGTTTGTTTAAGTTACGGGCAAGGTGGACCCCAGCTCCGGCCGTCCCACCACCAGAGACGGGAACGTCACCCGTCGTCCATGGGCCTTGGCAACTTCTTCACTTCACGAACGCTTCCCTCACTCTCACCTTAGCCTTCTTCGTGTACTGGCATGGCCAGACTGGCTCATGTTGCGATGATGGAGGAATGCTAGGCGGGGTGTGCAACATGTCGGATGTGTGTCGAATGGTTCCTGGTTGCAAGATTCAGCGTTGTCTCCTAACTTACCGGTACGGGGGGGGGCTGTCACGTGAGAGCGCGTTTCGTTCGTTCCAACACCAGTCACGATAAAGCCTCTTAGGTCCGAGACACAGGGAATCTCTCGTCCACTCTTCACTCTAAATATGGCATTAATCTTTGTCTGGTTCAACTCCAAAGAGGCCCTAACAGTTGGCTTTTCTACGACCTCGTCGTTCTCTCAATGCAATGGGAAGCTACACAATCCAACCAAGGAGAGATATCTTTCTCACATGCACTGTTGACGTGTCACGTGTCCAGTGCATGCTAACATGGCCTTTGCTACCTAGCTATTGATGCCTCCTGCTAAGACAAGGGACGCTCAAGCTATCGAGACAATTCCCTTCTATTTGAAACTAAACGAGCTCTCCACATTTCTGTGAGACATTGGTTCTCTGCTCAGGTCTATCCACATCGTGAACACGCCCATCTTCACGGTACAATGATCACCAGCATTCCCTGAGCGAGGTTCGGATCGACTTCACCTTCACCTCATTTTAGCGCACGTGAGCCAAAACCTTTGTCACGGGCCCTTGTGCTGTCATTCCCCGCTCAAACTAGCTACAACTTAACCTCCAGTCAACACTTGCAGCATCAAGTATTGCTAAAGCTGAGATTCCTGCCACATCCGAACATGGCGAGTAGCACCAAGAAACGACCGGTAAGCGACTGGACTGGAGCGATCACCGTGGGTTGAATACAACTGACATTTCGTTAGAAGTCGCCATCAACCAGTCAGGCCACTCCGTCCAAACGCGTACGAAAAGTGTCATCTTCAGCTAGCCATCCCGCTCCATCTAAACGGCAGACATTCAAACAGAAAGCATCATGCGCAAAGTCTGTTTTTCGTGGCAAGGAAGATCCCTACTTTCCTAGCAACGATGCACACGCTGCATCGTTGCCCACCAGCGATGACTGGCGGTTTCGAGTCAAAGTCATCTCGTCATCCACAGATCTTAATAACGATCTCTTCAAGGAAGCTGTGCAGGGCCTAGTCAAGATATGCTTTCCTCAGGGTGTACTGGAAACGCTTGGCATACAAGTCCTCGAAGAGCACATGCATACGGAAAACGCGCCAGAAGAGAACATTCGTAAAATGGTCCAGATATTCCGTGCTGAAATGGCTCATCGCGTCACCTGGATGCTTGCTGAGTATATGGACACTTCTGTAAAACTGGAGGCTGGGGTGGAGGCCATCGTTGCAGCCAGCGCGAATCTGCACGGTTCCACACTTGGGGACGACGTGTTGGGTGATGTGGTGGCTGGCATGCATCGCTTACGAGAGCGAATTCCAAGCAATTCGACACACGAGTTATCTAACGGTGCTGTCTTTCAAGAGTCAGCTAAGCCTAGTTCGCCTATACACCTTGAAGCTTCGGACAAGAACACTGGCAACCTCCCTTCTGGTGACATTTTTGACTTGGAACAGTCGGCAAGTGAAACGTTCACCCCAACGGTAAGAAAGAGGAAGGAAAAGAGCAAGGCAAGAGAACTTGACATGAGGGGAGAAGAGACACCAAACAATGCGGTAATCAATGTCGATACTTATCCAACGAAACCAGCCAGTATGAATACCCCCACACCAGCCCTGATGCAGAGAGAGAAAAAGATCTCTACCTCTTGGAAATGGGATATCCTCCCACAAGATGTCGCCTTCGCAGATGTTAGTGACTGCTTCAACACTGCCGCTGACCTTTTCGCCTACCATGCTCTGCCACTTGCGAAGAAGAAATTCGGAACCGCCGCGAAGCGCAAGGAGCTACGCCACAGAATGGAGGCTATGCTAGAAGAAACGCCACTCTCCGAGTATGAGAAATGGATGCAAAGCTACAGTAAACTGATTGAAGGGGACCGCACAATGTTGATTCGGGCTGAAGCCAATACAATATCGCTAGGACGGAGTACCACTGGAGCCACGCCTGCGCCTATCGATATCCGACATGTCCGGGAATCAAGAAAAAGCGTTGGGCATAGCACCAGCCAAGAAGTGGGACGTTCCGAGAAAACCAGCACACGCAGACCAAATCAGAATTCAGTGAAAGATGAAGCCGTTTCCAACGTGAGCGTTATAGAAACGAACTCACTGACCAAACCGCAAGCAGAAGTCACAGCGTCCACTACCGCCGTCAGAAACCGCTCGGTCGAAGCTTGCGTTCATGGAGCGCAAATGGATGGTGGCAAGGGTTTTAAGGCAAAAGGAACCCAGCTCTCTCGCAATAGTGCAGGGCATTCCAACGAAAGCAGCCGTAATCTCATCGATGCAACGGGCTCAAGAGCGGCTGGGGCTACTCTCTTAAGCAGCCAAACGCCAATAGTTGATCTGCTATTGGGCTTTTCTGCGCCTTGCAGTAAGGACGTGAATGCCTCAGTAGAAAGTTTGATCACAAACTTTGCGAAGAGGTCTTCTCTCACTGTTTGTATTCCGATATTGCTCTCGTTATAACGAACTAATCATTGCCAGTGTATGAAATTGCAGAAAAGCAACGGGACTACGAGGATGATCACTCTTCAACAGTTGCGCAAAAGTCTTCATGGGCGTTACAAAGGTCGCGCAGAAGTTTACAACAGTCACACAGAGGTTAGCTTGAGGAGAGACTTTGAGAAGTTGTTCATCCCTTGGGTAATTGAGAGTCACATCGAGTTCCCCGAGCTAAAGCAACACGTATTTATGTTTGCTCATCTTCTACCGGCGAGTAATTTTTCGATTTATGCTGAAGAATCCGTCATCACTAACAAAACTAAAGGGTTGTACACCAGTGTTTGATATCCTTTGTGATCCCATGATCTCACTCAAACCAGATTCAGTTTCCGTCGTGAAGGCTTCCATTGTGATGGCATTACATCAAAAGGGGCTCTCCATAGTAAATATCACGGGGACTATAGTAAGATCAGTGACTAACTAGTGGTAGAAATTACAGCCTTATGGCAGAGGTGAAAACTTCGAAGATGAGATCGCTTCGATCATTTTCGATACAAGGATGACTAATAGCTCAAAACGTCATCATTTAGATAGAGCCTCTCGCCACATTGCATTTCTCCACAGGAAGATATTTCCTGAATTGAAGGGCTCTGATTTAGCAAAGACATGGGAGACCATTTCGGGTTTAAGTTGGTGAGCAAGTAGAAGATTTTAGGTCCACCGCATGCGCTGGCTTGCATACACGAGAGCTTTTCCCCCTCTTTCATCTCACTTGGCAACATCCTTGAATATCGAAGAACGTGACAATTCGATAAAACTGCCATGTTATCAAAAAACTTCGTTGGCTCATTTTCTCTGGCACTGGTGGGTAAGGTGTCCGACACTTAATACTTTCACACGATGTCCACTCTTACGTACTAAGAACAGCGGAATATGAGAAAAGAATTCATTATGAGTCCAATGATTCTCACGTACATCATGCCATCGCTTTGCCGATCATCACAATGCCAATGTGATCCTCGCCGGCCGGGGTGCTTCTTTCTCACCGTGGACGCCAAGCGTCAAATCGATGACATATCGATATGCAACCACGTAAATTCCACACTAATGTAAATACATCAGACCTCCGTTCTTGCAAATGTCTAAGATTGTGTGATCTTCTTTCTTACTTTTACCCAAACGTGTTTTTATACGTAACATCGAAATGGCTTGTGGAGGAGGCTGTTGCGGCTCGAAAGTCACTCCGGCAAGTGAGCGGATTAATGACAACGCGAGCGTGAGATTGCCTTCGACAGAAAGTCTCGAACCTTCGACAGAAACTGGGGAACCTTCAACAATACGTGAAGTTACAAAGCAAGAAGCTGTTAGCGGAAGCCCTTACAAAGCGTCTGCGTCGAAAGATGACCTGAACAACTGTGCAGCTACCTGTTGTAGCACCACTCAAGAATCTCTACCCGAACGCCCAATCACCGCAAAAAACGATCAAGATTCATGCTGCGCTCCGAACGCAGGCAATAAAGCGAAATCAGTGGGTTGTTGCTCAACACCACCGGCACGAGAAGAGAGTCCAGTCAGCAAGCCATGCAACTCGAAAACACCAGAGAGGAATATTACAACTTCATCATGCTGCTCATCGAAAACCGATAAGAAGACAGCAGATGCTTGCGCGACGGACAAGGCTTGTTGCACAACGACACCAGCTGTGGCCACTGCCACAACCAAAGCACAGACATCATACTGCCCAAGCAATCCAACGTCTGCTCGCTGCGAGAATACCGCAAAGCCGTTGGTAGATGAGCCTGGATCTACTGTGTCTGGAGCAGGCTGCCAAGCCAATGCGAAGACCGACTGTTGTGACGATACGGCTGGTAGCGTATCAACTGATTCTTGCGCTGATGGCTGCTGTGGACCAAAGAAAGACGATAGTACTAAGTGTACCGTGGAAGTCAAAAAGTGTCCCACTCAAAAAGGCAAAACCGACTGTTGTGCTCCCAAATCATCATCTGGGTGCTGCAACCCCAAGTTAGGTCCGATAATTTCCACCACCGAGATCGAAGTGTACGACCCGGTCGACCTTGAACGTGGTGTTACCGACCTACAACATGTCAATCTCAGTATTTCTGGTATGACCTGTACCGGCTGTGAGACCAAGCTTCAGCGTACGCTAGGGACTCTCCCATACGTCAAGAATCTAAAGACCAGTCTCGTTCTCGCACGCGTTGAGCTGGACATCGTTGGAGCTGTTGCAACGCCGGAGGATATAGTGACCCACCTTCACCGCACGACGGAATTCAAGTGCGAGGTCATATCGAATCAGGGCTGTGGCCTTGACTTCATCGTAGACGGCGATGTGAAGAAGAAGATCGACGAAGAATGGCCAGAGGGTGTACTGGAAGTCAAGCTTCTAGGGAAGAACGGGCTGCGTGTCGAGTTCGATGCGAAGATAATTGGGGCGAGGGACCTACTCAATAGCGAATGGGGCGCTCCAATGCGTCTTGCACCGTTAAGTTTGGACGCATCGCTGGACGCAGGCAGCAGACACGTTCGACACATGATGTACATGACACTTCTCTCCGCTGTGCTCACAATACCCGTCCTTGTCATGTCATGGGCACCTCTACCTGAACGCGAGATTGCGTATGGCTCGGCTTCACTTGCACTGGCGACCATTGTCCAATTTGTGGTAGCAGGGCCATTCTACCCAAAAGCACTCAAGGCCTTGATCTTCTCGAAGGTGATTGAAATGGACCTTCTCATCGTATTGAGTACAAGCGCTGCGTACATCTTCTCAGTGGTAGCATATGGGTATATGATAGCAGGTAATCCACTCTCAACTGGCGAATTCTTCGAGACGAGTACACTACTCGTCACCCTCATCATGGTTGGGAGATGGGTCGCTTCTCTCGCCCGCCAAAAAGCTGCCGAATCTATCTCCATTCGTTCATTACAGACACCGACCGCCATCCTTGTCAACGGAGAAGGGTCCAAGGAAGAGATCGATGCAAGACTGTTACAGTTTGGTGATATATTCAGAGTTGCGCCTGACACTCGCATCCCCACCGACGGCACAGTTGTAAATGGCGTGTCGGAGGTAGACGAGTCGATGCTAACGGGTGAATCCAAGCCTGTTTACAAACAAACTGGATCATCTGTCATTGCTGGCTCTATCAATGGAAGCGGAATGCTCACTGTGCGACTGACTCGCTTGCCTGGTAACAATACTATCACGACCATCGCATGTATGGTTGACGAAGCGAAACTTTCGAAGCCAAAGATCCAAGAAATTGCCGATAAAGTTGCCAGCTACTTCGTCCCTGTTGTCGTCGCCCTAACGATCATCACATTTGTCATCTGGGTAGCTGTTGGCATTGCCGTACGTCGTCAATCTGGGTCCGAGGCAACGATTGAAGCTATCACATATGCCATCACGGTATTGATAGTATCTTGTCCATGTGCAATTGGCCTCGCTGTACCAATGGTGATTGTCATTGCTTCGGGCGTAGCTGCTAAACGTGGCGTAGTCTTCAAGTCTTCAAACAGTATCGAGGTGGCGTACAAGACTACTGACGTGGTATTCGACAAGACAGGCACTTTGACAACTGGAGAGTTAGCTGTCACTCATGAGGAGTACTTCGCAGAGGATGCCAACTTATCTAAATCGATATTGCTGGGCTTGCTAGTCAATATCAAGCATCCGGTATCAGCCGCAGTGGCAGCGCATCTAGAATCCCAGGGCATCTCACCTTCTACGATCGTCGACACGAAGGTACTTCCCGGCAAAGGTGTACAAGGCGCCTTCAATGGAGCAAATATTTGTGCCGGTAACTCGAGATGGCTCGGTCTGTCCGACCACACTCATGTCAAAGCTATGCTCTCCAAAGGCCTCACAACGTTCTGCTTCACCATCAACAACACCCTGATTGCAACCTTCGGCCTTCAGGACTCAATTCGTCCCGACGCCCTTTCCACAGTGTCCCAGCTCCAAGCCCGAGGCATCACTACTCACCTTCTCTCCGGCGATGATGACGGCGCTGTGCAAGCCATAGGCGCTGAACTCTCCATCCCACTAGCCAACATCCGCTCTCGCTGCTCCCCCTCTGATAAGCAAAACTACATCAAAAACCTCCTTTCCACGCCCTCCACAAATTCCGCCAAGCCCCGCAGCCCCATCGTCATCTTCGTCGGCGATGGCACAAACGACGCCCCCTCTCTTGCGCAAGCTACAATCGGTGTCCATATTTCCACGGGCACTGACATTGCGCAATCCGCCGCTGACGTTGTTCTCGTGCGACCGCATCTCAGCAACATTCTCACTATAATCAATGTTAGCAGGAAAGCGATACATCGAATCGCGTTCAACTTTGGCTGGAGCTTCACGTATAATTTGTTTGCGGTCTTGTTGGGCGCGGGTGCGTTTGTGCGGGCGAGAATTCCTCCCGAGTTTGCTGGGTTGGGTGAATTGGTTAGTGTATTGCCTGTTGTGGCTGCAGCGGTGGGATTGAAATGGGCGAAGATTTAAAAGAGTTTTTTTTTGCTTGACATTGTGGCGCATTCAGGCAGTGGTCGACTACAAGCGGTAATCGTGAGATCCCGGATGTAGCGTGACTACCACTCTGTTGGTGCAGCACGCGAGCCTGGAGGCTGAACTCACGAGGCAAAGTCCTTCTCGGAGTCGCTACGATGCTTAATCCTGGATGTGCTATTGCATGTATGCAATACATGCAGGGTACTATTGTATGGTAGATTGAAATAGACCATGTTGCATAGGCTAAACACAATACCACGTTCGGCGCTACCCTTAAGAACTGGAAAAGTCTGCTTTGGACTTGTCCGCGCTCCCGAAGCGATGAGAAAACGATCTTATTTCCACTATTGTATACATTTCATGACGGCTGTATATCGATTACATGTCCACGTTTGGGTAAGTATCCACGCCGTACACTTTGTGAGGAACATCCAATTGGTAGATATAGTATTGGGCCCACCGACTGAGCAGTTTAGGCGTACTCAGAACGTACATAGAATATGATTCAAGGACTAGTAAACTGCGGTACAAAAGACGTTGCTTTTGTTTGTGTTGTACTTCTCTTTTAACATACTAAAAACACATCCTTTCAGATTTCTCCTCTCATCATATTTTTATTTCTTCACTCAATCATGTTACCCAATCACTCCGCTCTTCTCTTCACCCTCGCCCTCGCCATCCCCACCCTCCATGCCATCCCAGCCGCCGCACCCCCCCTCCGTCCTCCCAAAGGCGCCGTAACCATAACATCCCTCAGCACCAGCCACATGGGAAGCGGGTGCCCCCCGTCCTCCGTCTCCATCAACCTCGCGCCCGACAACAGCGCGCTGACGCTCATCTTCGACGCCTTTGTGGCCGCCGACGGACCCAAAGCAATTGCCACAACTACGCGCGCGCTGTGCAAGGTTACTGTTGGGCTGGATGCAGCAGGGTGGGTGTTTGATGTTGCCAGTGTGGATTTCAGGGGTTATGTGTTGTTGGAGGCTGGTGTTGAGGCGAGTCTCGTGAGTCGCTGGAAGTGGGTTGATGCGGGGGGAAAGGATTTGAAGGGCAAGGTGAGTTTCGGTCAATTTGGTTTCTTGTCTTCATGTTTGAGTTGAGGCTTTGGGGTTGAGTTTTCGATATCGTGGGGGCAGGAACTCAAAGGCTGTTCTGTGCTTGTGGTCTAGTGACTTGTGAGTATGTCTTGCTTTTTACTGATTTTACTACCTTGATTAGGGTCATGCGCAGAAGAAACTCAGCGGTCCGTTTGAAGACGATGTGTTGCTGCACAAGGAGGGAGAGATGAGTGATGTTGAACCAAGTGTTTGTCAGAAGAAGGATGCTAGGTTGCAGATTAGCTTGAGTGCGACGGTTGATGCTGGGGGTGGGAAGAGGAATGGGTATGTGCAGGGGAGTTCAGCGGATGCAGCGTTTAGAGAGATTATGAATATGAAGTGGCGAAAGTGTTAGAGCAGGAAAGGATGGTTCGGGGAAACTGAGGTGGGCGTGTGGGGGTGAATTGAAGTGGAAGTAGCAAGAGGTGCTGTTGGATAATGGCAGCGGATGTCGATGAGTTGTTGCCCTGTCGCGTTGAGTTTCTGTGTTATATTGTTGATAGAGATCCTAGAATTCAATCTGAAGTTTTGTATTAGTTTTTCCGTCCTCAGTCCCGGGTGGGTTGTTACCTTGACTTTCGCACCTGTAGTCGCTGTTCATGAATGACTTTGTCAACAGTGACATGTTAGCAACAGAGCCAAAATTCTCCCAAATATAGAACATATTGTCTCTCGTTTCACGCATGCATCTGTTTTGCCAAAGAGTATCTACAATCAGTATGGCACGCGCATAGAGACTACGAACAAAACACCCTAGTGATCAAGCAGCCACTTATACTCACATCGACGAGAATGCAAAAACATCCTCACAGATTTAACCAAGTCATCTGCACCACGAGTTCATCAGGAGATTTCAACGCAGACCTCCAGTTCGATCCTATACAATGGCCAGCGCATCTGAGGCGTGCGCAGAAACTTCACCGTCCAAGACGTCCACAACGGCTTCGCTGCTCGCGAAGCCAGACACATACCACCGGTACCATTCCTGCGGAACTAAAGTTATGCAGAGGCTGGGATTAGGTACCGTACCTACTGTGCGACTAAAATGGGCTCAACAGCAGAGTCCCACTGGCAACATAGTGGCACGGTGATGAGAGCCTCTGGGCGGTCCTAACACGCCACATCACGCATCACGTCCGGTTTTCCGAGCTTTCTATCTGATGTCCTCGTGGCGCTGACCAACAAGCTGTTGCACATGTAACGTGGGATGCCTCCTTGTCGTTGGCGTCGAGGACAATGACGTGTGGATATTGCACCACGACATCTCGCCCAGCAATATTATTCCGAGCCCTCCAGACCACCCAGGTAGTTTCGCATTCGTAGTACTGGGGGATCTTGGTTAGAGTATTTCACCTTGCGCTGGGCGGGCTAAAGGGAATGTGCTGTTGCGGCAGCAGCTGGACTTTCGGGCACCAGGAAGGGGTGATGTATACATGAGGAAAACGGATGAGGAGATTGTGAAAGAGCGCATGTAGCAGGCTTTGTGAGTTGGATCAACGATATTCATACTATACATTTGTCTGGCTTCCCAGATGAGCTCTCATAAGATCTCAATCAAATAGGATTCTTGAGCTACCTAACGAGGATGGTATCTATCGTAGTGTGGTATCGTCCACATAATCAATCTATCATAATAATAATCTCAATTCTGTCCGGCGCAGCCAATATCACACCACGCGCACCTCTTCTCCCACTAGACAGGTTCTATTATCCCGCGGACCGTTTCCATTGAGTCCTCCGCCGAGCCGCTACTGTTAGCTACGGCCAGCTACGCCTACCCTTGCGCTCACTCAGGCGCCGCCAGGATCCGACACACGCCAGCCAGCCAGACGAATTACCTCTTTGTTATTGCAGGCGTAGCCTCACTGCAAACTAGTGTGCTGATGGGGTGTCAGGATAAGGGTTAGTGATGCTTAGTGCTGCGTTCGACGATTGCGGTTTTGGGAAAGTTGTTGAAAAGGCTTTTAGGTTGGATGATGAGCACGACGCCCACCTCACAGCTCATGTCGACTGCGATTGAAGAGTCACTACAGGAGAACAGGGAGAGTTATTGGGCTTAGGATATCAATTTGAACCAAGTGGAATGTGTCGACGCCTTCGCGATGGGCTAAACTAAGGGCTGGTAATCTCTATCTCCATCTCAGATGCAACCTTGGCAGTGCAAGCTCATTGCTCCAGCGTAAATCGACATTTATGCCTTCTCGTAAGGCGGGAGGCTGTCCGACTCAGTAGCTTTTGCCGCAGCCCTTGCCTTGCGCCTCTCAAGCCTGGCCAACTCCCTCGCGACCGCCTTGGCTAACTTCCTGCGATCCTCACGCTCCTTCTGCTGGATGACATCGAGCTTGCCCTTTCCGCTCCACACCTTGGCGAATTCCTTTCTGAATTTCTGGCTAAAAGTGAGATGCTTGTCCGCCTCCTCTTCGGCCTTGCGTGTCTTCTGCTCCGTCTCATCATCTGTGTCGTAGAAGTCGGACTCGTCCTCGTTTTCGACCAGAGGGTTGGTTTCGCTGCTTTCGAGGCTAACGGCGCGCTGGTTGCGGGCTTTGTCCCATGCTTTGGTGCGGCTGTAGGCGACGCAGCCGGTGATGCCTAGTATGGTGATGAAGGGGAAGGCTAGGAAGAGCACCATTACGCAGCCAAAGGCGATGAGGTCCTCGTCCATGTTTCTGAATTTGCTGGGTTGAGAAGCTTGGGAAGAGGTGGGTGTAGACTTGGATATATGGAGTTGTCGTACATCTAGGAGGGCATGGAAGAGTGAATGATGTTAAAGGGAGGAAGGTTCGCCACCTGCGTGGCGCAGCAGCGCGGTACGTCACGATCGCAAAAGTCATGTGACATTACAACAGGCCGTTCGTTGTGGTTCATTGGCAACGTCGAGTATCAAAACTGTAAAATCTCTGCATCTCAGCTGAGAGATTTTCACTGGCGGCTATCACGAATTAAGACCTCACATCCCTTGAATAATAGATTCAACTTCAACTAGCAAAAGAGAATAGAGTCACGTGACTAATGGCCACATCACTCCCAGTCTGATTAGATGCGAGGTATATGTAGAGACCTACAGTATCAGGCTAGGCAGCAATGTTTTCATTGTTACAAACGCCTCGTTAAAATACAAAGTGATTTGTGTATCGTCTCAATATTGCCACACTCTTAACCATAGAGGACTCAATCAAATGGACTCGTTGATTGCATAGCGCCAATAAGGATTATTCCACGCGCACACTGCTACCGTTGGTTAAGATACCGGTAATGTAGTTTCGTAAAAAAAAAGGTATCTTGTGTCGACAGCCGCCATGGTAGGCCTTGCCGCCACTTTCACCTTAGATTTAACGTTAGGCCGTATCAAGCTTAAGAAAACATTCCCACTCCTTTAGGGAGAATCTTAGCCTAGAAAGAAATCCTGCAATGTTTGTTGATACGCAAATACAAACTTGGTCTAGGCTTCGCATTCAAAGCTGCACGCCTTCACTGTTACTTTCACCTCTTACCTGCCAAAGCTAGCTGCCAAATCTCCCGCGACCTGATAATTGCCCCATCCTCCAGATCCCTTTAGAACCACACGAACAAAAGACACCACCTTGTTTAAAGTGATCGATTTCTCGCTTGCCATGCAAATGACGCCGCAGCCTCTTACTACCTGCGCTGCATGTGGCAATCCTGCAACAGATAAATGTAGTGGCTGCAGGTCTATCAATTACTGTGGAAAGTTCTGTCAAACTACGCATTGGAAGTCGCACAAGCTTACTTGCGAGCAACGCCTACTCGAGAAGGCACTATCGCGTGTTGCTATCTTGGTCCAGAAAGCATACTTCGATTTCAGTGAACAGACCTTCGATACACAAATTATCAAGGTGGAGGAGTGTGGTGATCAATGGCTCATTCAAGATGGGGATCAGCAGCGCAAGAGAACCTATTTCGTCAAGTTCCCTCAACATCTTATGAAGAATGAACAAATGAAGCAGGCGGTGTTATGTGCTTGGAAATGCAACGAGGCTCTAGGCTTCCTTCACCAGCTTCTGAGTGGACTTCTTGATGGTAAGTCTGCATTTATAACTGGTTGTAAGCGTGAATTAACCATCTTAAGGACTCAACGTGAAGATTGAAGAGGTATCGATCACACTTGGATCGGTTCCACGCACTATCAAGATCGTTAACTCTGACGGCTTCCGCCTCGAGAACTGGCCAACATACATGCACGAAGGCCTTCGAATCACATCCACGAAGACTGGAAAGCAGTATCTATTTGATTTTTGCGGCTCTCAGTACGGGATACATCGAGCATTATGGAAGACGCCTGTCTACGAAGCGCAGTTCTCCGCAAAAATAGGCAAAGCATATCCGTTTGGAACACACAAGCATATTTTCGGTATTCTACGAAATATTAAAGGGATTCCGAGGCTCACCTACGGCATTGTCGGAGACGCAGCGGAGAGGCTAGAGATGGCAATCGTAGCCTGGGAGAAGAAGAATCGCATGCCCTTGTCGCGTATCAGGTCCCAGAACGATGTTGATTTTGGAAAATCTGAGAAAGAACTTATCGAAACTTGCCGTGCAGCGACAAGTGCATTCGTCGAACACAATGATTTCACTGCTATATTCCAAGATTCGATTGAGTATGCCAGGACACATCCAGGGGAGAGTGGGGAACTTATCACGCGAACATTCCGTGAGTTTCTGAAGTAAGGTTTGACGAACATGGATACCAGGGTTTCCAACGGCAAAAGGTCAATGCTGCTCAAGACGAGGTTTTGCAAGCTGATCTAATATTGCTTAAGATGCTCTAAAACTATACTATTGCAGTGTGTCAAGACCAAGAGGGTTTCAGCATGGGCATAGGAGTGTGTGTGTGTCGAGGAGATCGCGCGATAGAGCGATTTCCAGCCACTCTACGCCCAGCAATGATCCATAGCAGTCAAACCTTTCAAAGAACCAGACCATGACATTATGTCTTAACTCTGCTGATCCACGTGTTTCTTTGAAATCAATCTCATTGGTATGGAAAACTTGGCCCGCCTATATTGCCAACTACAGCCTCACTAGACGCAGTATTTTGCCCCCTCTTACTTCACCCATTTGATGTCTTACTCTATGGCTATTGATTCCGATGAGAGATACTTAACCTGCCAGAAATGTGACTTACCGTCTGCAGCCAGATGCAGTCATTGCAAGATCGCGCACTACTGCAGTACAACATGCCAAAAGACGTCTTGGAAAAAGCACAAGCACGATTGCAAGAAAATGGGACTTGAATGCGTGATTTGTATGGTGGGGAGCCTTTCATTAGAAACTGTTCTTCACAACTGTTCTTTACATGGCATGAAATCAGGATAGACGAGCAATACTATAGATGGGAATTAAGTGGCAAGTGGATGATAACGCACAAATCCTGAGGTGAAGGGGACACTCTTGGCAGATTCGATGTGTCCGCACTTCGTTGCGTATTTCTCCAAGACCGTGGCAAAGATTCCGCGATGTTATGCAAGGACACCAAGGGAGAAATTACTGATATAAAACAGGGTCTTCAGTGACTATCAGGGAAGTCGGTTTGATAGTGAAGAACCCCAACTTGGCTCCGCTTAACACCGAATTTAGAAAGACCATGCAGAGTCATCCTAGCTTCTCATACCATCTATATTATGCCCTCGAGTGGAGGCACAGTGTCCTCACCATACCAAACCGTATGACCCAAAATCTCTCGAGCAGTACTACATGCCTTGAAAAGCACCATTGAGTAGCCTTGTGGTGCTTGTTTAGTCATGCGATGGACATGGCTCGATTATGCTGTACTGTGGTCCTAAACTGTCGATATACTATTCGCAAGGTGGATTCCCAAAGCTCACCAAAGGAAAATGATGCATTGCTGGCAGTCCAGGTGATGTATTTACATTGAACCTGGTATGGTGGATCGCGCATATTGACTGCTCTTGAATTTCCGCAAAAGAACACGAGCTCGGCGCCTGACGCCGTTGAGAAGAATAACGAAATCAAATAGGTAGTGCCGGAAGTCTTGAGAATGTACCGGGAGAACGTTGCAATCTGTGTCCATAATTTAACAAAGTCAGATGAATGCGAAATATATGTTTACATAGTAGAATACACAATACACTAGAGCCATAAGGAAGCGCGAGTATAAGAAATATAGACAATACAGATAGTTTTAACTGCTTCCCAGCCTACCAAGGGACCTGTCTTCTGCGGTGGCAATCTTGGCAACATGAAGGCAAGAATGATGAGCAAGCCAGCGATGTTGATAAATCTGAGCACCCTTATTGTCCACCCGAAGCCAGGGTTGGGATTCAGCTGCCATAATACAACGGCAAACACTGAGCCTCGCGGAGTCATAAAAAGGGTGTCGAATCATGGCAGAAGAAGGTTCTTGGAGGGAATGCGGTATGACATCGTACATGTCAACTATTTTGGCCATGAGATTTGGTCTTGTGGTCTAATATCCATCGGTAGCTTGGTAGATATGAAGGCGGCTACTTTCTTGAGGAATAAACGCCCCATATTGATGTGGTGGAAATGAGCGGTAATAGTGTTGTGATCGGTTATTCGATGATCAACATGCCAGAGCCAAGATTTATAAATATGGGGATCAATACGGACCACCGTATACCTACAAGACATTGTGGAGATTTTGACCTCAGGTAATGAGGCTGTGGCCGCGATAAGAAAGTTGACGCCTAATATGGATTGATTGAAATTGGCAACAGTCAAAAGTTTCATGATATATTGCGTCTGGAGGTGGACATCCAACGACAGCGGCGTATCTATCTCAGGCTTCTCATCGGCGCATGACATGAACCAAGTCAACACTGCTAATTGGTGTTTAAAGATCGTTAGCATCGGACTCGTCAAGTTTCCAAGTGATAACATGCGAGAAAATGGGAAGGATAGAGAAACTTACTGACATAGGGTGGGAAGGTAGATCGAGAGAGATCACCTTTTGGCGAGGCGTTGGACAAGTTCTAGATCGCGCTGATGCTGGCCATCAATAGTATAGATCCATCGGTTCTCGTTCTTTCTCCACCAGCGGTTGGGTAGATATGCTTCCCTTGAACTGGTTAGTATTCCAAGAGACCACATGATTTAATGGCTTACAGCATATAATACTCATCACGCTGATAGGGGAACTCCAGGCTCAAAGGCCCGTGCTTTGAAAGGAAGCCATCCGCACCAGAGGCAACGTCTGCATCTGTCATGGCGACGTGAACCCGCTTGTTGCCTTTGTTCTTTCCGTGGCGCCGAATAGCGTGTGTGGTACTTTCGAGGTGCTGCTCCAGAATGTTTGCGTGCCACAAAGAGTTCTCCACAGCTTTCCTGGCAATACGGGCGTTTCGGGCCACCAACTCATCATTCCACGCCTCTTTCTGACCCCTGGGTACGATTGGAATCGGAGTTCCGCTGTCTAGATGAGAGCGCCAATGTGCAAAATCCAGAACGAGCCCGAGATTGTTCCATGTGAGAATACACGTGAGACAGGTGCAAAGTTGATGGGGATCAGGCGACTGGATATGCTGATAGGGTCGGTTATGTATACTCAATTGTTTCTGCCGATCGGGATTGATAAGCAGCTTCTGGATGTCTGGCTCAACTTCTGACAAAAGCCTCGGTGTTGGAAAGCACTGGACGAGAATGGGGTAGCGCAGTCTGATGATGGCATCACCAAGGATGGTGGCATTGGCATGAACAAGATCACGAAAGCGGCGGTTCACCGCGCCAAAGCTCAGAACATCGCTTGGAAGCAGATATTCGAGGCTTTCAAGAATCAGTTCCGTGGGAAGCTTGGCGAGGTTGATGATGGCCTCTCGCTTCCGTTGTCGCGTGGTTTCCTTTCGTTTCAGACGTTCTGTGCGCTTGTTTCTGATTGTAAGTCTTGCAGTGTTATCCTCAAGGGGCTCATCATCATCGCTCACGTAGCGTGGCATCGCCGTATCAATCGAAGGATTCAGAAGGGAGTCGGACGGTGATGCATGCCTGGTAGTAGTGATGATACGCACGGCGATTGCAGGTGGCGGAGATGAATTAGCCAATGAACGTATTCCAAGATTTCCCTTGTCCGTTATTGATTCCCGCACGTGACCATCAACTCTACACCCATTATCATCAACGCTACGTTCCAGCCTCTGCACCTCAAAATCCAATCGTTAACAATGCTAGTTCACAAGTCTTGGACTGGAAGTGCGTTAGTTACCTGTTTCAGGAAAATACAATCAATCTGCCCTCCTTGGCCGACCGCTTACGTTACGAATACCATACCTATCGTACATTATCTTGCCTGACCTTCTTCAGATCATGTTTCAGATTATATTCTTCTTATCGTCCTGTCACTCAACGTAATATTCCCCTCTTGTCCGACGACGACATTTGCCGCGCAGAGCACGCGACTCCATGTAACCAAGTGTTGGTCTCACAAACTCTGGTTGTGACCATTGATTGGCTACAAACTACCGTAATCACCGTGGCGCGCAGCCGACATGGCGTCATGCAGCATTTCTAAGCATCGGACTCTGCATGAACGCTTCAAGACAATGCATAAAGGCATCGCCATCACAGCGACCATCACAACGTAACCCTACCTGTCAATCTCAATCACAAGACTCACAGGCAACCATCAACATGACTACCGCAAGATTTCTTCACATTGATACCTCTTCATACGAGGGAAAGCCATGGAGCAAAGTGGACGGTGGCGGCAATAGCTTCAGCGAGAAGAGCTATGAAAGACAAGTCACAGATATCCGTGGAAGAGAACATGAATTCACCACGGAAAACTCTGGATTCCAAGTTTTAAAATACCCGGCAAAAGAGAAGCTGTTTACCGACGACCAGGCTGTGCGCGAAGGCTACTACCACGAAGTCCTGAACCTGCTGCGTGACACCATTCCAGGCATCAGGAAGATTGTCATCTTCGATCACACCATCCGCCGACGGACAAAAGATGCTGCTCGAAAGCCGGTACAGCAAGTTCATGTCGATCAGACGGCCGATGCGGCGGAAGCTCGTGTTCGTCGTCACGTGCCCAAAGATGAAGCTGAAGACCTTCTCAAGGGCCGCTATCAAATCATCAACGTATGGCGTCCAATTGAGAACCCCGCTTCTGACCACCCTCTTGCAGTCGTCGACTGGCGTAGCACATCACCAGAAGACTTGATTCCTACGGACCTGCTATACCCAAAGCGCGACTCCATGGACGCAGATGATCGCGGGAAGGAGGTTCCGCCCGTCAAGTTCGATGACAAGTCCACAGAAGGTTATGAGGTAAAGGGTGAGGTCATGTATGTTGCACCAAACGAGAACCATAAATTCTACTATCAAAGCAACATGACACCTGACGAGGCGTTGTTGTTGAAGTGCTTCGACAGCCATGGTGAGGGTATGCCAAATGGGAAGAAGGGACTTGCTGTGGGAACACCACATACTGCATTTGCGGACCCTAAGACGCCTGCAGATGCGCCCGGCCGTCAGAGTATTGAAGTAAGGTGCTTGGTCTTCTGCGAATGATTGGCCACAGAGTTTTTCCTTCTCTTCTAAAATAACCTGATTTAGTATTTCATGCAACAAACTATTTCTCTTTGTATCTCTTAGATAATTGTTTGTGCGGCGTGTGACGTGTTCACCTTCACCTTCACTTAATCTTGTCACTAAGCAACAACATTCCAATTGATCTCAAAACCTTCTCTTCGAATTCTCACCACAATCGTCTCGTGCCACTCTTGCAATATGTCATCATCTTCAGATCGCAAGGCTCGAACTATTGATCGCGTCCAACTTTGGACGCCGCCGCCGACACCAAACAAACAGCGCGATCGCTCCGTGAGATGCGCGATGCCTAGCCCTCCCCCACGAAAGCAGCGCACAGTGAATGATTTAATTTCCCCAGCTCCGCCGATGGAGAAGTCGTTACTGAACGATGGACAATCAAAGTCGCGGAAGAATGAAGGCAAACGGTTGCATAAAGCAGAGAAGAATCGAAAGAGACTCGCGGCCAAAAAGGCGCAGAGGCGTGGAGCGAAAAAGCCTTTGCAAATGGCTCACTGCCCCGGGAAGCAAGATGCGACTTTGACTCCACCGAGAGAGTTGACACAAAAGAATGTTGTCCAAGGCGATGTTGCGTCAAGCAAGCCATCACTGGATGCGCCACCAGGACCTGCTACATTCGAGCCAGACAGGAGCGAAGATGAACATGAGTCATGCCAAAATATTGAGGAGGTAGATGTACAGACAATACAGCCACAAGACTCTAACCACCCGATGCTATGCTTCGAATCGATCGAATCATCAGACTCAGAATCCTGCACCGCGGAAAAAGCCTCCATGATGCAGAATCTACTATATAAGAGTGTTGAAGAAACAGTCGCGTTCATTGACAGCATGTCATCTGACCCAATGCCTCACTCCCAACCAGGCGATCCCTCAGATCAAGCCGTCGTAACAACAGCACTGAAACTGCTCCTCACTCTGCAAGCCGAGCAAACAACTCTCAACTCTCATTCCTTCGCGCTCGAGGCCCAGATCACTGCGCTTAAGAGCACAAGGTTCAAGGTGGACTATGTAGCTATTGCCAAATTGGAAGAGGAATTGGATTTGACTGTGGCGCTAAGCTTCGATATGTTTGTTGGGGAGTGGGCGTTCCGCGACTTGCTTGAGGTGAGGAAGGAGGACCTTGGGTTTGATTTGGTAGGGGCGTTGGCTGAATTTGCGAGAGATGTTGAGGGGTTGGTTAAGGGGTTCGAGGACGCCATGGCAAAGATTGGAAAGTAGTGGTGTGGAAGTGATTGGCGTTGAGTTGGTCAGATATGAGTGAGCGCGAGATGGCCCATTGCTTTTCCAAAGTGGAAATCTTCACGAGTTTGGATCTGGAAAGTAGTGATAATTGGCCAGGAGCATGGGTCATTGGGTTTGAGTAATGTTCGGATTTACACGTGTTGATGAATTCAACATCAATGTTAGGCCCGGTGTCACTCCCACAGCGCGTCTGGAAATCGTGGTATCTGCGACAGCACACGATCCTGTTCTGATCTATGATGATTTTCGAACAAAGACATGATGGAATAATTCAAATATTTCACTGATTCTTCACAGATTTTTCTCGAAGGCACATTGAGAAAGCTGTAAAATAGTTCCCGTGCACACATACCCACCCACACACCGCGGCCAAAATTCCACTTGATTTGTGGCCAAAGTTACGGACAGGCTGGAAAATGTTGTACTTAGCCTCATTTATGCTATATTTCGTCTGAATACTAAGGTAAGAAGTCTTGAATGATATCTCAAGGGGATTAACAGCTATAAGTTGCACAAAAATGATCCATCTATGCATGATCAAGCTTTTACTGGATTAACAGTCTAGTGCCTGAGAGGTGCATACACTCACACTCGCTAGTGGCCGGCGTTCGGATGCCTTGTCTTGACGATAAACGCCAACTCGATTAACTTGTCTTGTCCTCCCATATCTTCAAGAAGAGTTTCCAGAGGATCGAAAAAAGAATACCTTGCAGTCCATTTGCCAAGATCCTGGTTTTCAGGCCCCGACCGAATAGTCCAAGTCGTCCATCTTGGCGGATGACGCGCTTTGCAGCCTCGGTGTACGAGATCCTAGTGTCATTTACCTGACGATACGTCTTGACCACTCGCAAAGAGTTGGAAATCGTGTCTGATGAGACGGATGCACAGAAGCCAATGAAGGCGGCACGAAGTAACCACCATCCGATCTGATGCTGTCGAGATGGCTCGCTGATCGTTTCGGAGAGGAAGTTGTAGACAGCGAACCACGGATAATGCCCAACAAATGTCGCTGCAGCAGTTGCAAAAGCTCCCCACCAAAGACTTCCCACTCCATCGCTCTTTATGCGGTTTCTTAACAGTGCCCATCCTCGGGGACCTTGTGCTTGAAGCGTGGTCTTGAGTGTGTCAATAGGCGTGAGAACCATCCTGAACGCAGCTGCACATAGTGATGCAAAAACGGTCTTGATGGGTGATGGTAACTGCTTAAGATAGCCGTTGGACTGGAGCAAGGCTAAGATGCCAGCATTGGCTGCTGTGTCTCCGAAACGTGCAATTGGGCCTAATGCGAACACGTTAGTCATTGTCGGTAATCCGATTCATGTTCTGACCCTGGAAAAGAGCAGCGCCCATGCCCTGATAATAACGCCCGATTCCGCCATCAGCATATAATGTTTTTGTGGCCACTGTCAATGACGATCCATGGCGATACTGGTAGTTCATGATTGTGCGAATAGGCATCAACGAAAGGACCTGGAGGACCATTGCAGCTGCACCGCTGAGACCACCGCCCAGTGCCCGCTTCAGAGCACCTTTCAGGTCAAACTATCGATGCTCATCAGCCGGAGACCTTGCAAGCAGCATGGTGATCGGGGACTTACGTCCAGATCATCGGCATCTATCCATCCTTTGATGAACACAGCAATCAGAAGCACTGCAATCAGGATCCAAAGTGCTCTCCAAGCATACCGCCATTTGGGTCCATCAGACTGGGACCCGCCACTGGTTGACGTTGTGTTGGAGTCGCGCCGCAGTGTTTCTGGGGCCAGCAATGGTGCGCGCTCATCGGGCCTGGACCCGTTTTCGACATCGCGATGGGCACTCATCATGGAAAAGGATTCACGTGCGTGTTTCCAGGATGAAGAGCCTGCATCGGGAATCGGGGTACATGTATGTATGAGATTCAGAGAGAGGTACGCGTTGATGATGACCAATCGCCAGTCATGACGTGTTCTCGGGCCGAGAACGCGCTTGCTTCCGGACCACATGTGCAGCACCAACTACCTTCACAGTACACAATATACCTCTACCATGTTGATGCCAGGAGGCCATGGATATGGCATGTACCCAAACCCATACTTTAACCAGACACTCCTTTCAGCTCCCTTTTACACAAATGCCGCCCGTTGTGTCCATTTTAGCATTGCATCTCCCAACCACGTGACACACAGAAAGTCTCCAGGGAGCCCCCGATGTGCAGTGCCGTGCCTTTGAAGGGTGAAAGATGTCGGGTTTATGCGCTGCCTGCCATTGCGCGTGTCGCCCTTTCGAGATCCTCGCTGATATCATAGTCCCAGATCCAAGCCATTCTTTGCTGTGCATTCTGTTGTAATGCACGCAGATCATCACCCACGTTTTCACCCTCGAATTCCCACAACATCCCAGCTTCCCGACTTGTTTTGACGAGCTTCTGGCTTCTCGGCCTGCGTACAAGGTCATATGCGGCGAAAGCCCTGCTTATATCGCCCTTAGATTGACATTTCGAAAGTAGCTGGCTCAAGATGTATGCGTCTTCGATACACATTCCCGCTCCGGCCCCTTGATGGGGCGTGCTGGCATGCGCAGCATCGCCGGCGAGGCAAATCAATGGGTTAGTGCGGTAATAAGTTGACGCCGGTGGGTGATCGAAGAGCGCCCAAATATCTGGTTTCTGCAAATGTTCCATGATCGATTGCACGGTTGCGCCCCAGTGCTTGAAATCATCAAGCATTTCTTCTCGCGGAGTTTTCACCACCCAATCCTTCTCTACCCATTCTGATCGCGACGAGAATGCGACCACTTTGGCCAAGTCAGCGTGGAGTCTTGAGCTTGATTGATCTGACCTCACCATTCATAATGGTTCCATTCGCTATCGGGAACGTTAACAGATGACCGTGGTACCCGAGATACATCTGCGCTGATTTGGGGACTATCGGACCCATGATTTCAACTGCTTTGGTCATTGGGATTAAGCCTCGATACGCATATTTACCAGAGAACACTGCAGCTGTCGCATCGGGGTCACCTAGAACAGCTGAACGAGACTTTGATTTGATACCATCGCATCCCAGGACTGCACTATGAGTTGCAGTCGTACCGTCGGCAAAATGCAGAACCGCATTGCCTGACAATGTCAACGAGAACCATCTCAACCAAACGCACGAGATCTTACTAACCTGAGCCATCAGCAGCCTCTGTAATATCAACCAACCTTTTGCGGAACTGCGCAATGCCAGCTGGAATCAACTTGACTAGTTCCTCCAAGAAGCGCGCGCGATGTACACCCCCTCTTGGCCCTTTCCCGCGTGATGGTATGTTAAAAACCTCCTCATCAAGACCGATATTTTCCTTCTCCAGCCTGTCCAGCCCTATCCCATCTCCGCGGCCGCTCATTAACCATCTCTGATCTCCCACACGCATCCTCATCCATATCGGTGGATCTGTTGGCGCATTACCTCGAGAGCACTTCACATAGGCATCTACAATGCGCGAATCAATCAGACCCATCGTTCGCACCATCACAGGCTCAAACCCAACACCCGCCCCAATCTCACCAAATGCTGATGCCGACTCGTAGAGCGTGACTGGAAGAGCTGGAGCATGTTTGAGCAGTGCAATTACCAGGGTTAGGCCAGCGATTCCTCCGCCAATAATTGCAAGGTTGGGCGACGGTTTAGTGTTGGAAGATGGAGTAGACATGGTGCGCGTTTGGTGAGGAAGTCAGGTAGGCACTTGGAGATGTGTTTTAGCCGGTTCACGCTAGGCAGATATGAATGGACGCGTATCCAAGGTGAGTCGGGGCTGAACAGAGCCGGGATATGTTCAAGCGCAGTGGAAGAAAGCGAAGGGGCGGAGGGATGAATTATCATTGTTGTTTCGCCCCACATGTGCACTGTCAGCATTAGAGCTGCCATGCACTCTAAATCATTACCAGCTCCAAGCAAAGCCTTTCGCAAAACGCGGCAAATATCAAGAACGGACTGTTATTTGTACTGCAAATCATCTTTCCCTTATTAACTCCCAAAACCATTCGCGCTCAGTAGTTTTTTTTTCCACTGCCAGAAATTAATCTGTACTGCGGCCAACCCTTCTACAGAACTCTGAAAGATCCTTTAATGCTGCCACGGCCGAATTCAAACCAGAGCAGCCAAAATCAACTACGCATTGATTTCTCCAAGTGTACACGTTGACATTTACTCTCAGACTCGACGCTGTCGGTATAAGTATAGTAGCAGCTGCAAAAAAACTGCAATTCTAATCCTAGCCAGCTTGACAGGAACCGTCCTCTAGATTAAAAAAAAACAATGAGCAATGAGCAATGGGTAGGCTAGTGAGGAAAGACTCAGTATCCAGCAAAGGACTTTTTGTTTCTCGGGATAAGCCTCAAAGCCCATCAGCCAGGAACAAAAGTAACAATGCCGGTCTCAGAGCCAAATCGTGCAATCATACCGCAACACTTGCATCCCCAGCACCAAAATACCCAAATTATATAATCTTCTCACAACATCACCGCTTACACCCCACCATCACCATCGGCCAACCAATCCGTACTGACAAGGACCTCAGGGCTTTTAGATATAAAGCTGAGTTGATACCGGCAGGACTAGATTCTGTAGGTAGGAGAGTGGTGGATGTTGTGGGAAGGGAAGGGAAGGGAAGATTGGAGGGGAAGGGAAGATTGGAGGGGAAGGGAAGATTGGAGGGGAAGGGAAGAAGGGGGGTTGGTGTGAATGCTGGGATTGAGTGGGTTGGGGGATGGGTGGATTGATGGGGAGGAGGAGTTTTGGGTTGGGTTTGGGGTCGGCCGCTTTGCCTCTGGGCCTCGTTCGTGTTCTCGGTTTGCGTTGTCCGTGCGCTTTTTGCCGGTCTTGCCCGCCTTCTTGCCTGGCGCGCCGCGTGCGGGCCCGCTCC